CCCTGAGGTGGACTGGTGTCCCATGCAGGGTGTGTTCCAGCTTGCACCTGTTGCTTGCTAGGATAGGCTCCGACTCACCTGCAACCCCGTATTGGAGAAACTGATCTGAAAATGGATGGGCGGCTAAAGAATCAGCAGCTTGAAGTGACCAAGTTACACTGAGAGTCACTTATTTCCTGTCCCTCTCGCTGTGTAAAGCATGTCCGGAGCATCCAAGTGCCCAACCTGTTGGCTCTTATTCAACATCGCCATTCAAGCACGACTCCAGGGACCTTCTCTGTAAGTTCTCTGTCTTTCCCAAGTCTGCAGTCACTGCAAGGGGCAGGATAAGTAAAACCTACAGCCGATGTAGGGGGAGATGTACAACCAAGCATGTGTGCAAATGTATTTCTAAAAATCTTTCATCTTTGAGACGTGCATTATCCAGTTTGGTGTTGTCACTGTTTCTTAGTATTATTTCTTTTGTGTTGCTTTCTCTCCTGCCTTTTCCGTTGAACAGTCAATAAAGCGAGGCTGATTTAACCTCTTTCCTCTGTCAAAGAGGCTCCGAAGGGCAGGGATGTGTGTGGCCCAGGAGGTGGCGCTCTTTGCTCTGGATCAGAATTGACAAAGGAATGCCCCAGTACGGTCACCAGGGGTGCTGTGCTTGAGGAGGTGCTCTGCTTCGGGCGGGACGCCGAACAAGGTCTTGCCCACACGGTTATTAAAGAACCCACAGCACTGATCGTAAGAGCAAGAATGTCAAACCCAGGCCCCGACTAAATTCCATCCTGGAGCTGCGCAACTTGACCTGGCTAACGTTCCCCTTTAATTCAGCTTAGGAAGAAATACATCACTGTCACTCAGGTGGGGCTGCACGTCAGTGTGGAATGAAGTGGGTCCCATCCTGTGTGTGAAGTGCTTTAGGATCCTTTGGGATCAAAAGCACTGGTTAAAAGCAATTAATTCTAAAACTAATTAGCACCTAGGCAAATTATTATTAATCATAATAAAAGTGATATCAACACCCCCACTAACAGCAGCAATAATAACTGTCAATCGCTGGATTAACAGCTCATTGCATGACCTCGACATGTTTATTTTACTCTGGAGGGAAACGCTTGTTCTAAAATGGATGCTTACAATGTCAACTCACCCGAGATCATCCGTTTTAAGGATTACATGAAATACCGGATAAACACGAACCAACTAAAAGACACACACTGACCAGGAAATGCATTCATGGCTTAGAACAGAATTTGTTCTCTCAAACGTTTATCTTATTCCAGTTGGCTGCAAAGTTGTTTTCCAATGCCTTTGCAATTAATTTGATCAATTCGGAAGTGAATTAAAAACTGCATGTGCAAGACACAGCACAAAAAACTGTGTGATACTATTTCCCTAACAAAGGTATTACTGTGACGTCTATTAAAAAGGCATACTAAGCATTCTGGCTCAAAGCACAGAAAAGGCAACGACAGAAAAATAAATCGATCTGCCACCATTCAACAGAAACTATAATTGATCTAGAGTTACATAGCAAATTTAAGACTAAAGGTTTCAAGGCTAGCCTCCAAAATAAAATTAGTAAATACAACAAACACATAACCCTACTTATGGATAAGCTATTCTTCTTTTCTGCATTTTAAAGTGTAATTGAGAAGGAAAAAACGTCTCTCCAGCTGTACTGAGAACTAAAACCTCACAAAGCTGAGGGACACAGGTGTGTTCATGTGTGACTGCTACCCACACTGCCCCTCTGCACAGCGAGAGGCGTGTACAACAGGAAGTCAGGAGGGGCGCCTGGGGACCTTTTGCGCTTTCAGAGACATGAGACATGTTCAAAGCGCATTAGGCAGGACACTCATTTAAATATTTGTAAACTTTCAAACTAGCAATGTACTGTAGGCCTGTGAGCGTTGCAGGAGTCAATAATACACATTAACTGAGTTAAACTGTGCTGTAACTGGATGAAGTCATAGTACATGAGAGTATTACACATTCACTACAATTTTCCACAGGGGCCAAAGGTACAGTATACAGACAAATGACTAAGCAAGCTATTCAGTAACTAGATGATTTTATTAATGTTGTTTTTACTTATCTGAGATGAAGAAGGGGTACTTGGTTTTGCAACCATGCTACACTGTATGCACTGTAACAACTTACAGTGTTAGTTTATCTGACTTCTTCCTTAATGTTCTTGCCTTTGAACCCAATATACTGTGTGTTCCTAAACTGTGTGCCTCAGTGTGTTCATACTGTTAAGAAACAGTTTCCAAGGTAAAATTCCAAGGATGTCCTGTTTGTATTTGTTATATACAGTGTATATACATTGTATTTCCATTTTCATCTCCTTGTTTCTTGTCAAGTATGTGTCTCTAAACAGGCAAACTTTCAAAAAAAAAATCAAAAAGCTACAAAAACTACCCTGCATGGATGTTGAAGGAACTTTTTTTGAGACAAAAATAGTCATAACGTATTAAAATTCAACAGGCTGCTGCACTGATCATTACTTTTGTTCAGCAATGCTATGAAAAACAAATTCTATAAAAGAACTTTGATCAAATTGAGACAAAATCCTGCAATGTAATAAAATAACCTATTGAAGACTGCAAAGTCTGCTTAGTATTCTACTGATTTATCTTGCCCATGAAATACGTTTGAACATATGGCCCTGAAATTTATGTCCCTATCTTTTGCTCTTTAACACAGCTGGATACAACCTTACCTTGACATTACTCAAGATCATCTGCGACATCAGCCTCAACAGCTGCAGGCTTTTTTTTTAATCAAATGCGAGCTGGAACTTTTTATGTTGTTATGACTTTAAAACTGACAGCCATTTTTTTCCTTCTTTAATAATGAAATAGGGGAATTTTCACTTGACATTCAACCTGATTTGCCACCTCACTACATGTGTCCTTCAGATCACGTGGGGTCTGGGTAATCTTTTCACGCTGGGAATCTGCAGTGGAATTAGCAGACTTTTAATGCAATTTGGAGGACAGATAGCGAACATACTGAAAATGATTTTGTTCCGTTATAATTAATTTGGCAGTTTTTTTTTGTTTCCAAAGCCACTTACAATGATCGATTTTTGGTACCCATTTACACAACTGGGTTTGCTGGAACAAACGGGTGCACAGCTTTGCTCAGGGATACAGCAGGACCTGGGATTTCACCCCTCAACCCTTCAGTCAGACGTCCAGAGCCCTGATCACCAGCCCACACTCTCCTACCAGTGCAGCCTCAGTCCACTTGAACCTGGTCACCCACAGCGGTCACCACTGTAATAGGCCGGCCGTCAATCTCCAGAATAAAAAAGACAGATGGCTCAGAGACTGATCAAAATCAATGCTTCACCTGTGCTAACTTTACTATTTTGCACCCAGCCAACAAAATAGATTAAAAAAAACTTAATCAGCATCAACATCCAAACACGTTTTAGTCTTTATTTGCATTTCAGATCTCATTTCTTACTTAACATCACCTTCCTTGATCTGCTGTTCACAGGTGCTGAGAGTAGCAACCCAGGCATGGCCTAATCTGGGGAGTCTATGGATTACTGCCTGACTGGAAGTAAACACCTTCAAAATGCAGTTTAGCTTCTGTGTTTCGGAAAACTTATAATATCATAACTATGGATACAGTAGTCATTGAAGAAGGAAGACTATAAGGGGACCTCTCACAAGTATTCAAAATCCTCAAAGTCAAGCCAGGGGAATAATACAGCATCGACAAAGAAACATAACACAGAAGACAGAACTGGAAGCTACACGGATGTGCATTTATAACCGACAACAGAAAGGCCCTTATTTATGCAAAGGGTTTTGGGAGTCTGGGACACGCTACCCAGCCACATGTACGGTGTACCCTACACGGTTCAACCTCAACTTTGCAGAGCATGCTGAGTACGTATACTGTTTGCAGAAACTACAATATGTACAGTACTTTAACCAACAGGTGTCAGGATTCTTGTCACACGTCAGAAAAACTGTTACGCATCCGTGTCTGAAAGAATTGAAAGAGAAAAGAGCACATTGCGAACTTCAGCATCCCCCTGCTCATGCTGTCACTCATGGCTAAAACAGGCTGACACACATAACAGAAAATCTGCACACACATGCCAGGCAGTTTAGAAAAATACACAGGTCACACATGGATGCTTGGTGTAAACGTACATTCATTTATCAAAGCCATGCGCTTTTTTGTTTCTGCTACTTTCTCCTTGCTAAAGAATAATTTCTAAAACTGAAACAAGCTCTGTGTCTTTCAGTGATCACCTCTGAAGCACAGTATGTCAGTAAGTTCTTTCGATTATCTGTCCATTTATCCATCTGCCTACAACTTTTCCATCGAGAGATTGTTTTTCACAAACGTAATATGCAATTTGTTAATGATGATTTCTTTGCCGAGCAGTGCAAAGTCTTTTAATTTTTTTTAAATTATCATTTTATTTACATGAAAGACAGGCAATGTACTGTAAACCCAGTTCCTAAACTGCTACAGTACAGTATGAGTTATACACTTTCAGGCTGATTGAAAGGGTCTCAGCAGACATAGACCTACAGAGCACCCAACAACATTCGTGCTTGTGTCTCTTTCCACACATATTTTAGGTGTATTATGTATAGATTTTTAAATGTATTACTATAGTGAAAAGTGCTCATTACTGGATCAATGAGGAATTTCAGCAAAATTTGATCATTATATTAGTGATTATATTGATGCTTGTACCGTTGCCTCTCAGCCAAAACCAACAAAATTAGCTTTCATCATATTTTTAAAGATATTTTCCAAGTGCTGGATGCTTTTGAGGTTTCAGGGAATGATCTCAATAAAGCTAAAAGTTATGTGGATTAATGTTCACGGCACGACAAAACAGCTGTGGAATAAACACATGCACTGATTGATTTCTATTGCTTTAAAATACCTACAGTCACCTTTCCCTTCGAACCCGCACATGTGGCCTGGCTGCATATTTCATGAATGAGGCTCAGAGGGAGGGCGCTCCCTGGGGGACAAGAGCACCGGCTCCTTCCCAGGACAAGGACACGGCATTAGCAAACAGCTGCACACAGAAAGTGGGGAAGTTAGGAGACAAGGGTCACCGCCAGCGCAGTAAAGAGCTGTCTCTGGCCCTTCAGACTGACGCTGCTTAGCTTGCTCTTCATGCCCGAATGAGAAAAGGACCAAAGCAATAAATCCTCCTGCAGTTCAGCCCACTGATGTCAACAGCGCTTGCCGAACAATGTGAAAGCGTTTCTATTCACTTCCCATCACACGGATGCTGCATTTCCTTACACTGAACACTGCCAAACGAAGGAGAAAACCTTTACTGGCAAATCCGCCCCACACGCCATCGACAATTCATCCTCAGCCAGGCCGGCCTGTTGCACAAAGAAATGTTTGTCTTACAGCTAGTTAAAGCAGTTTATTCAAATTAAAAAAGTTTATTAAAAAAGCGTGTGACCATAACTATTAATTGAATTCCTCCACAATTGTTTATCTATTTTTACTTCTGTGATAAACCCCTTTGAAACTATCTTGCAATACTCTTCTTATAGATGCTAAAAATCCAATATGAGGCTCAGTGCCTTTTGCCGTTATGTTGTCGCAGAGCAAATTTAGTTTTCTGCTTATGAAATTCTCAATACAGTACAGGAATGAGTTGCTGTTCTTCAGAGTGCCACAGCAGGTCAAGTCTAAGCAATGTCAGGATGTAATGCTCTTTTGAAACGGGTGTTTGTTTTTTTCAGACAAATCTGTTAACATAGGTTTTGCCTTTGCTTTATTAGTTTAGTTCAGTGCTTTGAAGGGGCCCCTATCAACACCTTCTGTGGATGAGTTAGCTATGTGTGAGTTAGCCATGCACTTTTATGCGCATACCATCAGAGATTTGTGGAATTATTCTTAGTGCCTCTCAGTAGAATCCAGCTTATTAAGCATTATCAAAGGAGAGTATCTCTAGTTCTAAAACGCCATTTTCTGGCAGGACCATATGTGATTTGGTTATTGGCTTTAGTAAATAAATACAAACGAAGAGTAACAAATAAGATCACGTTTGTCAGATATCAGTTAATTGATCCAAAGATTTCTTGAATAAAGCCAGAGTATTGGCTCCAACAACATGGCTGGGCTGCTTGTTCCACCCTCACACAAACCTGTGGAAAAGAAGTGCCTCCTGTTTTGGGTTTTTAATGCACTTCTATATTTATTCTACATAGTTTTCACTTGTCTTTCTGTTGTTTACAATTCACTGTATATTCTAGTCTGCTGGGCTGACTTTGTCAGTGCCTTTTAAATGAAAGAGGATTTTAAATACAGTAGTTGTATTATATCTGTTATAGTCTTCTTTGTTAAGAACTCTCTAGTCCATGGGTACTACACTTGTCATACTACTATATGATGTCTTAGATGACATCTCTGGTTGCCTTGAGAACATTTGGTAATATACCATCAAGGATTTATTAATTAATTATGGTCTGAAAAGCAGCTTTTGTGAAACTTTTGTTTTTTTGTTATTCAATGATACTGTATATGTACAGTATAACTTACAGTATATTTCTGTATACATGAATACAGATATTTAGATATGTGAAAGGCACATTCAGACGGTTTCTACAGATACATTAATTATGAACTCAGAAGAGTGTACATCAGTCTTCCATGTAACCATGGTAATTACATGTGTAAAAAAAGATCCCTGACTTTTCAGGCAATTTTTTTAAATTCATTTTGCAAGAACTTTGCATTAGTTAGCAAATATTTTCTTCCTATCAGATGCTAAACTAGTTCACCGATTGCCCGCTTTCACTTACTACTTGTTACTGAGCCAGATCCCTCAGTATCTCTGCTCTTTGCCACTGATGGTGCTTCCTCACCACAGTACTTCAATGGGAGCCAGATGTAAGTGTAGAGGGGTCTGCCTTGGATTGGGAAATCTGGGTCTCCTGCAAGAGTCTGCATCATGGACCTTTCAAACTGCCTACGACCATGCTGAGGCTCTGCTCTGAAACCGCAGTTATGAGCTCTACTAATGCTTCTGCACGCATCTAATTCCATTGAGCAATGTAAGGAGAGCATAAAAACACACTCCTGATGTAACTGTCCCCTTAAGCACGTGTGCGTGAGTCTCTATGGGATGACTGATTAGTTCAGGGGATAAAAGTAAATTCCCTGCATAAAAAAAAGCTATAGCAATGCACTTGTTTCACTACCTCTACCTCAACCCAAAATGAACAATGCATGTCACACCTTAACAATTTATGTCTATATTGTATTTATATGTATATTATACATATTTATACTATATTGAAATATATTGTATAACATGCAATTCATACCCAGACTCCTTGACTAAACCACTCTGATTCCAAAAGCTAAAGTGTCAGAAGTCCGGAAGCTACAGTAACAAAACAGCTATGTAAACAGAATGGTGCTTCTTCATGTGCCGTACTATCGATTGACCACACTCCTGGTGTTTCCAGGTGGCTCGATCAATCTGTTACATTACAATCTGCCTACAGCACTTGTAACAGGATCCTGCTGGACGTTCTTCTGACTATCAGCATGCAACAGCACACTGTGTTTTCCGCTACAGGAAGGAAGACATACTGTACTCTACGCAGAGCAGGACTTAACTCTTGTGTCATTTTCTTAACCCCCACCCTTTATAGCTCCAGATAGGTTGGGAAGCCAGAATATATCAGACAAAGGCATGCAGTACTTTATAAAACTAAATATGCAGAAACATATTTCTAAATTAGTTGTAATTATTAATGTATGGTGCATTAGGGATTCGCACACTAGTTATCCTGGCACACAGCCATGTAGGATGCTAAGTTACTCTGTGGAAAGCTTTCATTTTAATTACTGTTTTCTCCCACGCTGTGTTTAACTTAAAGAAATCCAGCTATTCTACACTACTAACGTCAGAACTTCATATTTCAGCCTTTCTCAGTGGCAAATGCAATTAATTTTTTTTTATTTCATTCAACTGCTGGCATCAGTTGTGTGCAAAGACAATACAGTAAGTAGGAACTTTTGAATCTAAATTCATATAACTAACTGTGTTTGAAAAAGACCCTTAAATGTCAAACATGATAAAAAACAGAGCTTAAAATGCATATAATCACGTTTCAAATAGAAATGGCAAAAGACAATTCTGAAGCAGACCAGTAGAGTGTGGGGTGTTTTAAATTGTCTTTGCTTGAACAGGAAAGATTTCATGCAGTAGTGAATTTAACCATTTTTAAAACATTTTGCTATTATATTCACAAACAAACTCTGTTTACGTGTCAGTGATAGCAGCGGTGGAGCAGCTGTTAGATCTCTGGCCCCCTCACAGGGAGGCTGAGAGTTCAAATCCCACATGAAGGACACTGCAGGTGGTACAGCAGGAGTGCCCAGAATGCCCCAGCCAAGCCTGCTGTCTCTGGAATGTGATCAGGAGTTCAGTGTGGGTCATTGTGAACTTATCTGTGGCACTACTGAGAAAACCTCTTCAACAACAGATTGTAGATATTTCTGTTAATGTACAACTACCATCTTAAACTAAACATGGGGAAGAGGAGAAGGAAGCACGGATTATCCACAATACCTGAAGGGAGCAAGCAGTCCAGCGGTGTAAATACCTCAGCCATGACAGTCAGGATGCTTTTTGCCCAAAAGACCACAGCTAAAATGAAAACAAGAAAACCATTTGAAAATCAAATTGCATTAAGCACAGGTTTAATTTTATTACAACACAGCAATTCATCAGAACTCTCTCTACGAACCACAAACTGAAATTGCTGGACTTGTCAAACCTCGGGTTTCCAGTAAAATAGATGTTAGCGGGCACTGGTAATATAGTCCAACAATGGAAAATATAAAAATAGAGGCAAAAAGACCTTTAAAAACCCCAGCTGGACTATGAGATATTTCACTGTAAACTGCATCTAGTAAAGCATACTTTCAGACTTCTTTCTCCTCTGCGTCAACAAGCTCTCTCCTGCACAAATCGTGGCGCACTGTCGCTCAGCCCCAGAAGAAACAGTCCTACCACCTTCCCCTCATGGTATACACTGCACTCACTCAGTACCTGGTGAGTAGTTTCCCACTCAGGCTTCCTCCACCTACTATGTTGAAAGCAACATTAATCCCAGAGAAGCCACCGGCCAAGTGAGCACACGTCACAGGCGCACTGACTTCTTAATCCAAAAGCACATCTCTCACTTATTAATGTGACTCACCGACTTTGCCAGTATATACAAAAGACCTGATAAGAAAGTAGATTGGCTACTGATGGCTGTCTTTGATTAGTTATTTATAAAATCTGGTAAAACGAGAAGGTACAAAACTCCCAGTTTTGCTAATTTAATGATATACTTCATTATCCTTCTGTTCTTTGTTGTTCCACAGAATTGGTATAATATGCGTTTTTGGAACCCCTCTCTTTGTTCTTGTACTTATGAACAGTCTCCATACTGGGGCTTTGCTGTGGAGATTGACGTCCAGAGGACAGAGCGCATCCTACTGGTCCAACACCTTGGTTTACTTGGTTTCCCATCCCAGTACAGATTGTGATATCTGATGAGGCCACATTAGAAGGTGCTGTACGTTTTTGAACTGAAGGCTACTCTGCCTAAAGACAAAAACAACTGATTCCAGAAATCACCACAATATACATCATCTGCTCCTAGCAGAGCAGCGGCTGCAGATATTGTCCACTTAAACCCAGACTGTAACCTTGATTCCTGCATTTCTCTCATTATTTTTCTTCTTATTATTATTTGAGCGGAATATAGTATAATGTACATTACAGGTTCGATATTAATTTTAAAACATAAAATTAAAGCTAACTCCTATTTCAGTCTGCAGCACATGAGATACATTTTTAATTTTTATTCATTTACAAGTTCCAATGTTTAATTAGAAAGTACATTATCTAGGTAGGTAGCTCAGTGGATTGTTTGCAGACACCTTTTGATATCAGCTTCAGTTCTTAAAAGGTTCTTTTTCCCACTTAAGTACATTTTTGCATGAATGGTACACAGATTATGTAACTTTAATGAGTTTTCAAATGCTATCCCACTTTCTCTTATTTACTAAGAGTTTATGAAAAAAGGAATACGCTTTTCATAAAAAGCGTTATGAAGTGTTGAAGAAACTGCGTTCAGGGATGAAGCCAGCTTTGAAAAATTGATGAGGCCCCTTGTGCATCTGCTCCACCCAGAGTCAGCGCTTTTCTAGCCAAACTCAAAAACTGCATATTTAAAAACTCTGCAATTCTGACATGCAGGACAGTGGACTGTAACCGTTTTCTTGTGCTGCCATGCAAGTACTTCAATCTGTAATATTAAAATGAATAGAGACAGTATTCAGCACATCAGTCAAGATGACTTTCAATTTGCCTGGGACTTGTGATAGCAGATGATTTGAGGGCTATACAGACATTTCATGGAAGAAAATGAGCTACATTTAAATATTCTTAAGGCTCCCACTGCTTGAGCCAACGTGAAACAAATACACTTAATCTGGTGCCTCTAAAATACATGTTATAAACTGCAAATGACAGCAGTTTAGCACAACAATTTTAATAAACTACATGGATAAAACCATACAGATTAATTTATTACTTACTTTATATCAGACATATGTACATGTATTGCATAACATTCCAAATGAGTTGTGACGTGTGCTCTTTTAACTACATTTTTGTGAAATGTGAAAATCTTTCTTCAAATCATTAAGTCATTTTTTAAAATTTAGACCTAATCAGTTAAATACTACTATACTATAGTACTTTCTCCACTGCGATTAATATGTATTTAGTTTAGAATTCATTACACTTAAAGTTTAGGATAAAGTGTAAGATAAGCTCAAAGATAAGATAAGCTTAAAGTGTAGGATAAGCTCAGAGCAGATGTTATTGAAAACGGTTCAAAAGCATACTGAAGAGATCTAGAGAAGCACAAAAAAGAAGCAAGCAGACCCTAGCACCTGTGAATCTCGCTGAAGAGTCTTTTAATTAGCCTTTGCTGTCCAAATGGTTAGCACAAGCACCTCCTACTGTGGTGCATAAGGGATCGATGAGGTTTTCTTTAGATTAGCAGCTGTAGACCGGTGGAAAGGGTTAAACATGGGACAGGCAAGGCATACTAATTCAGATTAATTGAACCCTTCATGTGCACAGGATAGAAGCTGCTGGTGACTCCGAGAGCCTGGAAACCTGCAGGCCTGACCTCAAGTACCAAGGCTGTGACTGCCTCTGTGTGCCACCCACCCTCATCACCTACCGAGCTGGTGCCCAGGGGGAGACGTACTGTAAAGACGAATTTCTTCAAACAGGGGCTAATGCAATGAAAAGGAGTGTGAGTAGACACCGAGTTGAGAGGGCAATCACCTCTCCCTGATCCCCCTCACTGACCGCTGGGGAGCAATGTGCTAAAGTGCGCTGAACGTGTGAAACTTAGGATAAATACACAGGCACAGACGAAACCTGTTGTTTTTCTTCTTTCAATGGAAAAAATACCGAAGCCCGTACTTTGTGCTTTTAAATACACTTCCCAGGACTGTGTTTTACAAGGCCTTTACTGGGGTTATTTGTAATAAACAGTCACATGGGGTAGTCATGGCAACTAAGACTTTCAGCAGAGGTGCTGAAAAAATACATAATAAGCAGCCAAAGAGTGCGCTATGAAATTACAGAAAGTGCAAATCTAACACTGCAAAGAAAAACACAAGATCAAGGGTCGGCAGACCAGGAAGAAAAGCACGTCTCGATTTTTCTCAACTACAGTATGTAGCAGATTTTTACTTGCATCTCTTTTTGGATTTATGAAGGGAGACAGTCTGAGGCTTAGAAGTATGAAATGAGACTCCCTCCTGGGCTGCTGCTGAGTCGATCTCGGGACCGATCCGATCCGCCTTTGGGCGACGGCGTGTCCAGCTCTGGACAGGAGTGAAGCAGAAGGGCTGTGACGGTGTCACATGGTCAGGACGCGTGGGACAGCGGTCCTGCCGGCAAACCAGAACCGGCTTTTACTGAAAAGCTACCCACCACTGAAACATGACACAAAAAGGTCTGAAGCGGCAGCACTTTCTACTGTCTTTAGAATCGACATTCTTTTAGTTCAGCTGGACCCGGCTTTCCACAGTGTAAGCGAGGCATATATTAGCACAATCACCTGTTACTGTACATTAATGGCGCAGTATGACAGTGTACCTCATCAGAAACCCTGGTCCCCAGAGGCTGTGAAACAATAAGTCACTGATTAATAACATAAAGGACACATGAACGTTTTTGTGAGGAATGAAGTTCTTGTGATGCTTAAGTCAACAGCTCTTAAGCAACATGGGTATATTGTCACTATTTTTAATATTTTAAGGCTCTGTTGAATTGCACTAATGTATTTTATCAAAAGAACATTTACAACATTCACTCCCTACATTTATCATATACTGTATATATACATCTCAGTTTTGTGGAAGCTATCTAAAACATCCCACATATAACGACTTTCAGCATTTGTGAAGTTAAAACTGTCCCACATATTCTGATTATCAGGAATTCACTAAAGATTGAAAATCATTTGAGGCTTAGCAAGCCAGACAAGGAAATAGAATTTATCTTGTTTATCAATATATTGTAGCACCAAAAAAAATCAACATTTTTATGATTCTGTAAAATGTCCATTTTGCAAATAAACGTAGCTTTCTTAATTTTGTTTTATGTTAAATACAGTCCCACAGAGAGTAATTTCAGGTGAATGGAACTGAACTAAAAAAGAATTGAAGAGAAAGTCCAATTTGTAGACTGGGTCACGGTTGAGCAGGCCCATCCAGCAAAACTGAATAGGTGCTGAGGGAATGGAGTGCAATAGAAAATAAAGTCTGGGTTACAGAAGGAAAATGCGCTACTGATCGATAGAAAAGTGAGTGGGCTTTTTTTGTTTCTGTTGTTTTGTGTGTTTTTTTAATAATAACCTCATTACTTACTGATGCCTCCCTCTCAAAGCAGTATAATCTTAAGCCATTGCACAAGATGAAAATCAATGTTTGGCGGGACGCACTCTTTTTAAATATTACCAGGTTAAGGCCTGTGAATTCAAACTTTTTTTTCTTGAAGTTTGCTCAGAGACCTCGGCTTGTTTCCGTCGTCGTGGTCCCCGTGCACAGGGGCCCCCAGTAAACTGGTCCAGGTGTAAGCGGAACTCTCACATCGTCTCTGGAGAGAGCAGGAAAGGCTGCATTTGGGATCTGCAGTGCACAGTCGTCGGAGCAACGTCTAGATGTCAGGCAGGGAAATCCTGGCTTATTGTCCATCAGCAGACACTTTTGCTCCCAAGAGTCATGAGGTTCTCAGTGATTAACTGCTAACTTCAGCGCTTAGGAGGTACAGCAATTCCGGGTCACCCACAAACCCACAGTGTAGGTAGGCGCCTCCTACTGAGGGCTATCAGCACTTAGTTAAGGGCTTGAAAAAGCTGAAGGGCTCATCTGGATGGGAAAGCAGCAGTGTAAAGATCACCTTCAAGGTCACTTCTGGAGTGGCGGCAAATCCGAGTCTTCTCCATTCCACAGAGCTCAACGTTGATATGTCACACCTTGTGCTACAGTTTTCTCTTTGAGAGAAGACACTCCAAAAATGTGGCTAGATGTTAGAACCTGTTTTTTTTTCTTAAATCAGGATGC